AAATTCTTTTTTTCAATTTTAATTTTCGCTGTCCTGGAACAGCGTTTTGTGTGAAGTCCGGACCCCTGCCGATGTAGCTAGCCAATTGAGTGCTTCGATTCTTTCTCTAATTTCTTACTTCATTTTTTTAGCAACTCAAAAAATCATTCTGGGAATTTTATGAGAAAAATTTCAGCTAATAAATATTGCTCTCTTGCCATATTTTGGCCATTTTGAAGCGTGCTGCTTTGATCAGCTGTTGTTTCATCGTTGCGTGCCTCCAGATAATTGGTGCAACAAGTAAATTCCGTACTTTGAGCCTGCTGCATCCACGTAGCTTCGTAAACGTCCCAGTGCTTTTCCCACCTCTACATTGCGGAAGTGCCGTCTCGCTTCGTTCATCTGTTGTCTCTCATTCTTGCCGCATTACTATTCCAGTTGTGTTTGGTGAACGTATATGATTCACATGGATGCTGGAAACTCGCATTTTTCTAGATCTTTTGCTGTTCACTTATCCACTTTTTTTTTTCAGCCCAGCCATATATTTTTTCAGCCCAGCCATATATTGCGCGTTTCGGAATTCATCCGGCAGTATCGGCGATTTGCGGACGATCTCTCGCCACTGATCTCGTATTTCGAAAAATATGGGCAGCCTCATCTGGCGGAAATTCTCTCGAAAAGCTACGTACATGAGGAGCGTCCACTGCTCACTGACAGACAAATCAATTTCCGATTGTCAGTGGAAGGAAATGTGCCGCATCGACTGTATAATTATGTAGAAAGGAGAGAATTGATCAGAGATTTGGAGGAAGTACTCATACGGCTTGCATCTCTCGGTAGGCGCTTCGTAAAGTACGAAAAGTAATAGCGTAGAAAATTCAAAAAAATTATATAGAATGATACACCAAGAACACATCGGGCCTAAATCATTCAGTAAGGACCTATGTAATGAAAATACAAGTATGAATAATAGAAATTTGAGAACTAAAAAAAATCAGAAATTATTTGGAGTGATATATTTGAGGACTCTATCCACATTAAAGTAACAGAGTTTTATGTACAGTAACATAATATTCAAAATATAATAGTATATGGCATATCGGAGAATTTTCTTTGTTCAAAATTTAATCAAAATGATACTGATAATCTGATATTAATACTTTGCTACACTGAAAGCTGCCATTTCATTGTTGCGTTTTTTCTCGCCATTGGTGCAGCCACTGCGAGCAAAAGCCATGACAGTTAAAGTTGTTTGTGAATGAAAATTCCGCCATGTTCTCGAAAACCATTTTTTGGGGATGAGAAGCGGCGGAAAAATAAGTTTACTTTTATGGGGAAATTTTATAATTCATTAACATATTTTAGCTTTTGATCCTCCGTCGTTCTGTTTTGATGCAGATATCCTCAAAATGATCTCATTCTTTTATCGTAAATGGATCAGATTCTCGAAGTGTTTTGCTAACCTCGTGACTTTTATTGCTATTAACCTCGTTTTGTCAGTTTTTCAACTCATCTGTTTGCAGCTTTGTTCGAGGGGCCACAGACTGCACGATTCAAGATGATCTGTTGCAGATCGGTTTTGGCTTGTCGTTCATGGATTTGCTGGTTGTGGGAAGAGTTGCTTGGCTGCAGAAGTTTTGCGCAGTTGTCCAGCGCTGCTCAGTAGGTGTGTTTCTTTCACCATTCATTTTTCAGTTTTTTCTTTTGTAACCCTTTGTTACAGTAATTGCTTTGGCACGTCATTTATTTCAGCATATATTTCTCTCTTTCCATGAACAACTGTAAATATGTTTAAAATTAAATGAAACAATTTCAAATTCGGAATTAAACAATAAGAAAATAGTGGAAAGTGAGATCTGGCCCGATTTATGAGACAAGTAATTGATGAAGGAAGAAGCATAGGTATTGATAGAGTGGTATAGTCCAATTAAGTCAAAATTTTTGTCTTTTCTTTAAAGTGTTGTCTGAAATTTCTGCATAGCCTGATTTCCCATCTGCGTAACTGACATTTTTTCCGTCTACCGTAACATTGGTGTTGCACCGCCTAGTGATTGATTTTTTGCGATTCGCGTTTCTCGGCTGATTATTAGTTCAGCGATTTTCCCGATAAAAGCATCTGGTAAGGATTTAGTGGCTTCAAGGTGTCGTGATGTATGGCATGCTCAAGCACTTTTGAAGTTCTCCGATGTCGCATGAGTGAATCAGCCGATTGTTTTTTCCACTTTATTCTGCCTCGCAATAGCCGCCTTAATCTTTATTAATCTGAAAAAAGTGGCACATTCTGACAAGTGTAATTGT